GTGTGTGGCCTGCCGGTGAGTTCAGCGTGTGTTCCACACAGCGTTCCACCCGAAGCCTCACTCCCGGGTCAGCTTCCACCGATATCGGAAAGATCTTCAATACCTCTCCATGTACAGATAGGAGTCGGCTCGTGCGCTGAAGTAGTTAGCGTTGCTGTGGTAACATCCGTCCACTAAGCAGTGGATCTGTTCGGCAGTATGCCCAAGTGCCTTACGTGTTTCGAGATAGCCTCACTTCATCAGAGGCTGAGGTAGCTGGCGGTTTGAGGATACTTTTATACACAATTTATAATTGATACATTTAACCAGCTGTTATAAGTCCAATTGTATCAAGTATAATGCTAATTACATACAGTAAAATAGTTAAAGTTGCGGATATATTGAGTTACTGTTGGTACCATTTTTTTTTACTATTTGTCTAAGAATTTATTCAGATTTTTATATACTCATTAAAGTTATTTGGATTTTTAAGAAGCACATCTCCCCTTTTCTTATTCACTTCTGTGTTTTTTTCTAGCACACAGTTGATTTAGTACTGTGTTGCTTTCTTATCTGTATTTATTTTTTATTTCATTTTTACTGTACATTCCAGTTATATCATAGCTAATGCTCCTCAGTAAATTATATTTACTGACATAGGGACCACACTGCTGTGAATTACTCATGTACACATCTTAGTGTGTTTTCCCATAAACTACATTCTGTGAACTAATTTTATCTAGACTCCCTTAATAATGGATTTTTTATGTGAATTTTCTTGGGACATTTGGACTATATTATTCATTCTTTGGGAACATATGAATTTGAGCTAGATCTAATCTGCTATATACTATTATTATTTTTTTTTTAATTCATTTTAATTATCTACTGTACTTTGATGCAATATATCTACCAACGCTACTCTGTGAAAGTGTTCACGAGATCACAAAAACATACCTTATCTCTTGATGCTGAGTTTTAATGCTTGCAAGGATAACCAGATATGATCCACCTGGTTAGCCACATACATACTCCTATCATTTAGAGGGGTTAATTATATAACTACCACTGAAGGTATTAGGGATGTGCATGGGGAAAATTTTCGTTTCGGCGTCCCAAAATTTGGGACTTTGGCAATTCGGAACTTCGGTTCGGTTCAGTTCGGTTCGACACTTTGGAACTTTGGCATTTCGGAATTTCGGGACTTCGGCAGTTAGGGACATCTTTTGCAGCCGCTTAGTAGATAACTCCCTAATTCCCACGGTATTTGGGAGTTATCTACCAAAAGGCTGAAAGACCTAAATTGGTCTTTCAGCCAAATTTACTAATACCAAGTAAAAATTACTTAGTATTAGTAAATTCTGCTATACTGCAAGTAGGGGCCTCTCTATTAAACAGTGAGCAGTTGCTGCTCACTGTAAAAATAAATAAATAAAATAAACCCTTCCCCCCCCCCCACGAGCCCCCACCCGTGCCGTGTGAGTGGTGGCTTCTAACCTGAAGGGGGGACCTTTTGCCCCCCCCCTGAACAAAGGGTTGGGTCCCTAAAGTAAAATAAGGGGGGGGACACCTATTGTCCTCCCCCCGGCCCCCACCCCTGAGCAGCGGGTGGGAGCCCTAAAGAAGACTAAGGGGAGGATCTATTGTCCTCCACCCCAGCACCCACCCCTGAGCGGTGGGTGGGGGCCCTAAATTAGAATAAGGGGGGGACCTATTGTCCTTCCCACCGGCCCCCATCCCCAAGCCCCCCCAATATTTTACTTTAGGGCCCCCACTCGCTGCTCAGGGGTGGGGGCCTGGGGGCTAAGACAATAGGCCCCCCTATTTAACTTTAGGGCCCCCACTCGCATGGCACAGGTGGGGGCTTGGGAAGGGGGAAACTTTTTTTTTTTTTTTTTTACAGTTCACTGTTTAATAGACATGCCCCAACTCGCGGTATAGCGAGTAGGGGCAAAATTTACTAATACTAAGTAATCTTTACTTAGTATTAGTAAATTTGGCTGAAAGACCAATTTAGTTCTTTGTCAAGAGCTGCCATGGTAGCTCTTGACAAAGGCGTGTATCTACGCTGAAACGCGCGTCAAGCTTTTTTTTTTCTGACGATACTTTTATTACTTTGGCTTTAGTTTCTGGGGGACTTAGTCAGTCAAAGACTGTGTGGTTTATGGAGAGTGGGTATTAATAGGCAGGTTTTCTTCTTTTTTTTTTTCTCCTTTCAGCTGGATTGGTGCTAATAGATAGCTAACAAGTAAAGGATGGAGATAGGCAAAAGGTTAGGAATAAGTGTTAATAATAAGTCAATGGTGGGTTTATTTTTTCACATGTTAAGATGGAAGTTAAGTGTTAATACTTTAAAGGAGAAAATATGTAAATAGATTGAGTAAATTTATAAAATTAGATAGTTTGAACACAGTAAAGGGATGCAATTTTTACACACTGCATCAGAAATTGATAAAGTGTTAGGAGATTCTGGTAATTTAAATAAGAATCACGGAAGATTATCTATATACAGTAGGAAGATAAATTATTCACAAAAATAAAAAAAATATATAATTATCATAGGATTAAAACACATGGTAGGATTTGATATACTTAAGAGATAGATTTGTAAATATTGTCACACAAACACACAACTGGTTGGGTGGTAATAGTAAGTTATCTAAGAAGAATGGTAGATATTCTATAACCAATTGGTTAGATCTTTTAAAATAATAGCACCACATAAACTGTCAGTGATAATATATTCATAACTATCAGGGAATCTAGGTTGTAAATAATTTTTTTTTTTGTTTTTTTTTTTTTCTCCCCTCTGTGCAACTATAGGAGATGGTAGAGTCTTCTTAAAAATAAGGAACAAGATTTTCGGTTACTCTCCTCATACCGCCCCACCAAGTGTCATCTCTTTTGTTGACACAAATTCCGTGATATGGTGAATTCAAACACCATCTCACGAGGACACAGATGGTCCTGGAGTGGTAAGCCGAGAGGGAACCTTTCGGGAGCCAGGCTGTGTTGGGCCAGACTGGGGGTTTTTCCCATAAGGTTTTTGTGGGTCTATGTTCAATGGACCTTTTGTGTTGTATGTGAATGCATTGCAGCTCTCTTGGGGTCAGTGGAAACAATGAGTTTTGATTTAATATGGTAAAGATGATTTCAGTTAATGTCCAAGGCCTTAATTCTTTAACCAAAAAATCTTTAATCTATGATTATATGTTAAGAAATAAAGTGGAAGTGGGCTTTTTTCAAGAGACTCACTGGTTGGATATGGATAGTCAGGGCTGGGGTGGTTCAAAATTCCCTATAATGATACATGCTTCTTTAAGTGGAGAAAAAAAAAGAGGAGTAGCAATAGTATTTTCCCACTCATTAAAAGTGGATATAATTCATCAAATTAAAGATAAGGAAGGTAGATATGTTATAGTTTGTTGTAAATTGAATGAGATACCTTATACATTGACTAATATATATCTGCCTAATGACTTTCCTGCCCCAACCTTAAAAAAGGTCTTAACTTTAATGGAATCTGTCAAAATAGGCACATGTTTGGTGGCTGGGGACTTTAATAGTGTATTGGATCCGATATTAGATAAGAAGACATCTTCAATACTATTACATCAAAAAAGAACAGATAAATTGGCAAAATCTATTAAGAGAAACATGATTAATTTTGATTATTTTGATCTTTGGAGAACGACCAATACTAATTCATTGGAATATACGTTTTTTTCACGGGTACATCTTTCGTATTCCCGAATAGATATGGTTTGGGGAAATATGACCGCATTGACGAATATTAAATATTTTAAGATACTTGATAATACTTGGTCTGATCATAGTATTAATATGTGGGAGATGAAGAATCAGTGGATCAGGATTGGTCGTGATACCTGGCGCATGGATGATAATTTATTAAAATCTAAGATCAATCTTGATATAATGGAAAAACAAATAGTAACCTTCTTTCTTGAAAATGATCCAAATGATACCTCATATACAAATAACTGGTGTGCTTTTAAATCTACCATGAGAGGCAATATAATAAGTACTCAAACAAGATATAAAGTAACAAATAATAGATCTTTCATGGTATTACAAAACAAACTGAAAAAGGCTGCAAGCAAGAACAAGCAGTTTCCCTCTAAAGAAAATGCAGACGAGCTAAAAAGTATTCAGAATAGAATTAATAATTTTCTTATAGCAAAGAATGTAAAAATTAGGAATAAACTCAAAGCCAATTACTACTATAAGGGAAATCGAGCAGATAGAATTATGACTAAAAAATTAAGAGATAAAATTGGATCTAATAAAATAGTAAAGATAGAGGATGAAGACGGGGTATATCTGGACCCCCCAAAAAAATAGGCAGGTTACTAGGCAGGCTGCCTCGAAGCAGTAGGAGACAGAGGATAGACTGTATAAATTGAAGGCGTAGAGCCATGTTTAGCTGACAGTCTATGTCTGTGGGGGGGGGGTTTAATTGATCCAAGAGATTTCACACTGTGGTTATATCGGTGGTAGGGCAATCGTTATACTTAAGGGGTTATACATATACCTATCATTATTAGTTTCGTCCAGTAACTGCACGATATTGTCAATTTGCAGTGTAGCTGTTTTCAGCAATCCTGGCAACCCTCCCAGTTTATCTAAACACGTATGTGAGCTTATCGCCTTTCTAATTGACCTCTATCCGTCTTCACCAGTAATTAGGAGATTCTTTTCATTTTACCCATTTCTCAAATGCACTCTTGATTCGGTGGGATGTGTGAAGTTGTGAAATTGATGATATCTTTGGAATAATGTCTGTATTTTGACCATCCTATGAATAATAATACGATACAATTGTAGATTATGCTAACGTAGTGTACCTATAATCTTAATTTTAATAATGACAGGAGGCGAATATTTTGCATAACTTTCTTTACTTTATGCCTCCAGCAGCACAAGTCAATCAATAAACTTTAAACCAATCAGTAACAGGCATCACATCCATATATAAAGCCCTGACAGACACATGACTTCCTCTTTCTTTGATGCGAAAAACAGTCTATTATAACGTCAGGGAATTCAAATAACAGTCCTGATTAACGTGTAGCACATAACTTGAAACGAAACTTGAAACCTTCCAGCTTTATCTTGTCGAATCCATCTATGATTACGCTGAAAAGAACAGAAATACGTGAAAGGTGATGGAAACCAACTGTTGTCCACATTAAATCCAGTACTATATGTGTCTATATTTATATTAAGTTGATATACTGAAACATTAAACAAACCATAGTATACTTAATAATCAACACGGATCTAACACATATCAACCAAATAAGCATCCCATAAATATACTGAATTACCTAACCTTATAATTTACACTGAGAAAATGACAAACCAGAATATAAAAAATTTCCAGAGTATAGGGAGGGAAACAGGGAGGGAAAATATTCGCCTCCTGTCATTATTAAAATTAAGATTATAGGTTCACTACGTTAGCATAATCTACAATTTTATCACATGACAGGAGGCTTCATATTTTGCATTTTTAAAGCTGTGGTATGAGCGAGAAGGATGCGTGTGTGGTTGACGAAAATAAATATACGGAAGTAGTCTATCCGTGTCCAATTCGTCGCTGAAAATATAGAGGCCCCCTCGTGAAGGCCTGAGAAGCAGCCGCGCCTCTTACCGAATGAGTACCCAAAACAGGTCTCTACCCCCGCTAGCGATAACAACCAATGAACCCATCTAGGCAGAGTGTTCATGGTAACTGGCTTGTACGGTTGGTATAAGACCAGCAGATGTCCTGAATGTGACATTCTAAGTGTTGTCGTGATCTCCATGTAACAAAGTACCGCTTTAACTGCACAAAGACTGGGAAACCGTCGGTAACAGGGAACGATACGGACGCGGATAAGATATAGTTCTACGAGACACTGTAGAAATCATTCTTTCCGGTGATACCGAAAAGACCGTCTACGTCGAACTCCAGTACATCTGATACCCGACGAAAAGACCTAAAAGTAACGTTACTCTGGCTAACGGCTGACTGAGGGATAGGACCGTGATATCTGACTAGCTCCAAAAGAACCAAATCAAAGTCCCACACCAGTGATACTTTGACGCATGGTTCTGGACGGTTTGATACCCCGCAGAAAATGGCATATCAAAGGCTCTTGATTGACCGGAGTGTCGTGAATCATGCTATGCGTCGTCGAAATCGCGGAACGTAGCCCGTTAATGGAACGTTCCGATCGGCCTGTAGTGAAAAGGTATGATAAAGATCCAGCATCGTGGAGATAGGGGTAATAAAGGGATCGCAGTCCCTTCCCATACACCAGCGAACTCCAGGTGTTCCATGCGGATAAGTTATTTCGGGGGAATACCTGGCGTCCATGAGTCCCATGGTAGGTCTCTAGTTGGTTGCGATAGTCCCTTGACATACAGTCTCCCCTGGAAGACACCAATCTACCAACTCCAGATGCTCCTGCATTCTCAATGGATGATGTTCTCCTTTTGGATCCGCCCGAAGGCAAGTTAAAACGGAAGGAGCAGAGGATGATCCTGATTAAGGACAACCCTTCTGGGTGTCACGCTTGCCTCCTTTACCGCAGTAATGAGTACTATCGAAGTCTTCGCTATTCTGATCCCAATTTCATAGGTGTGTCCGTATCTCAGGCAGTGAGCTTTCAGCCACTGTCTGGCCCGGTAGTGAAGCAGTCCTGGGAAATAGTCAAAGGGTTATGGTGCCTTTCCGCCGTACCCGTCGAATTTCCTTACGAATCGTCGCTATCAATGATGTGGGAAGGTGTAATCCGCCCAAGGTGGAATCTATTCTGAAATAGAGGAACTGAATCACTCGGAACTGGGATCGAACCGACTCCTCTCTGTTCACTATGAATCCCAACAATTCCCGAAACTGTAAACATAAATCTCGTTTGTAAATGTAGTCATGAATTGGATTTGCAAAAGGTAAGTCGTCTAGGTATGTGACAGCAGATACCCTTTGCTTTTCAGTGCGCAGTGACCGACTTCAGAAACTTCATGAGGCACCATATGAACCTATAGGTAAGTGCCCTTCAAGTCCAACCTTGTAGATCCCGTAAGAGATGGATACCTTCCTTCTTGAGTTGTCGGTACGTCCCAAAACCATTGGGTTGGCATAGGTTGATGACTGGGTGATAGTCTCCTATCTTCTTCCTTACTACCAAACCGTTGCTGAGATAAATGGTTCTCCAAACGATAGTCCGTCCGCCTGAGGTCCTCGCTCTTTCGTCCCTAACTTCAATAGTTTGAAATCCATCTTTAATCGGGCTGCTTTGCGGCGTTCTGTGCACCTGTCTGCCTTGCGTTCCCCAACTTACATATTGCCCTTTGCACCCATTCCCTCACATCGTGAGCTTCTAGAGGTGAGTCTTGTGTGGGGTCAGGTCCGCAAAGTATAGAATTTTTTCCCGGGCTGATCATATCCAGTATTTCATCTTAACTCGTTTTGAGTCCTCCTCCTACACCTTTACATGGACCCCGGCCTGATCGGGACATACATATCACCACGAGCTCCATAGTGAGGACTATCTTGTTCGGACATAGAGGGCGTGGGCATTCCATCCTGAGCCTGTCTCGGATTTCTTTTCCCATAGGCCTCCTAAGCCAGAAGTGGGCCCGGTGCTCTGGTTAACCCCATTCGGATGACCCTGGTTGTCGGATGGTGCGTGAGTCAAAACAGGAGTGTCCAGTTTGCCAAAGAAAAAACCTTTCTTGCTAGGTGGGTCTTGTCACTTTTACCTCTTCTGCCCTCCATTCTTTCATGATCTCCAGAGAATGGGGGGAGGATGAAGTCCTCGTCCCCTGATGATGGGTGTCCGACCTAACGTCGGTATCTCAATCTTCCATTGGTGTTGCTGCCGTTGCACCCGCTCTGTCGGATGGATTGTTAGCCAGCATACTGGAGAGGACTTCTTCCCCCGGAGCTGTCATGGCGGCCTTAATCCTCGCCTGAAAATCGGTCGGGGATATTGAGGTAAGTCCGACATGTTGGTTCACACCCTTTCGGTCCGTGGGAGACAGGATCGTACAACAGTACACTTATTGCCACTCAGTGGGCCTCCGCGTATAACTGGGGGTCACCCAGAATTTTGATCAATCAGTATAATTTTCGCAGGATCCGGGGAGTGGTCTGAGAATGAGGACACCCTCAGTAAGACCGGGATGAGCGGTCTGCAATGTCGGGACGTAGCCCGAGTCTGGGAGACCTGAAAGCCTCAATATATATAGTCCACGGGGTTCATCCTTATATGATCTAGAATTGTGGAGTTTTGGCAGCACTGTGAGTTCTCCTTCTCGGTTAAGGGAAGGGCGTACGGAACCCCAGTTGAAGCACAGAGGTGCCAGAATACATGCATCTAGTGCGCCCTGGTCTGTGCATACAATGACAGAGCGTACTCTAAAGGTAGAAGCCCTAGAAAGGGTGCGGGGGGTCACCCCTTTGTACCTATGCCACTAGCACCGGAGTAAGACTCGTTTGGGGTTCACCCAGCATAGGGGGGTCACCCCTGTATGAATGTCTCTTATGGCATGTTGGGACACTCTTTCGGTCTATGGGGTACCGAACAGGTGTCAGGTACGGTAGTACACTTATTGCCACTTAGTGGGCCTCCACTTACAACTGGGGGTCACCCAGAATTGTTTCAATCAGTACCACTTAGAGATTTCCTGGGAGTGGTCTGAGGAGGGGGTCACCCTCAATAAGACCGGGATGAGTGGTCCGTAATGTCGGGACGTAGCCCGTGTATGGGGAGGTATGGTAGCCTCCAAATTATCCAAGGGGTCACCCTTATAGGATATAGTACTGTGGAGAATTGGCAGCACCATGAGCTCTCCTTCCTGGCTCTGTCGATATACATGTATTCAGTGTGACCCGGTCTGTGCATACAGTAACAGATCGTACTCCGTGGAAATGAGCCTGCCCTAGGGCGTGGGGGTTCCCCCCAGTATATGTATGTCACTAGTACCGGAATAATATTCGCTTGGGGTTCACCCAGAGTAGGGGGATCACCCCAGTATATGTATGTCACTAGGACAGGAACCAGATTTGCTTGGGGGCCACCCAGCATAAGGGGGCTCACCCCTGTACCACAATGTCACTTTGGAGAGGTGTCTGCCACGCTTGGGGGTCACCCAGCGTAAGGGGGGTCACCCCTGTTAATCACTCCGTTATGTGCCTCCACTACTGTGTCCTGGGAGGTGTATCCCTGTGGGGAAGGAGTGTATCCAATGGTTGTGAGGTCCAGTGGGAGTAGGGAGCGGAGTAAGATATCAGCTCTATTTAATTTCCCTGCCAGTAGATAGGGTAATGCATCCACTATATGCCCACAGCAGGGGACAGTCCATTCATAATCCTCCAGATGTACAATAAAACTGTTATTCAACATGTCAATTGTATAGAACAGAATAGAGCAAACTGTCAGCAGATGCACACAGCAGGGATCAGTCCTACATATTCATGCAGAGTTACATATAAACTTTTATTTCACATGCCAATGAAATATGCCAGTATAGAGCTCAGCAGTGAACAGTCCATTCATAATCTTCCAGGAAAGGTACATATAAAACCTTTATTCCACATGCCCATGAACAGTATTGAGCTCAAAAGTACTTGTAAAACTTTTATTTCACAGGAAAAATATATGAAACAGTACAGAACTAGCCGCCAGTTCGTGGGAATCACGAACTGGCCAAACGACATGGCCGACGTGAATCTCGCGAGTGCCGCGAGATTCAAGATGGCCGCCGTTCGCGCGCAAAAGTGCCGTGCGGCCCACGATCGAGGATACGATCGCGGTCTGCCGGCATGGAAAAGAGTCCCCCCGACATCCCCAACCCCCAGAGACCTGCCCTGAAGTCCCAGCACCAATGAATAAAAAGCGCGCTCACGGTAAAACGCCGCGATCCAAGACCAGAGTAAAGCATAGGAAAGAAAAGGTGCCAGCAACAGAAAACAGGCTAATAAAGCAGAAAATACAGGGTTAATTCAGGGGAAGGGTAACAGGGGGAGAATATCACACTATACAAATCCAAATGGAAGGCAAGTGCAAAATAATGAAAAACGTTTAGGCCAAAATTGCAGGACAAGCTAATAAAGTTTAACAAAAGTGCCCATGCATATCCAGAAACAGTTTGGAGCAAAAACTGAATGTCTAGCATTAAAAATCTAACTAAAGTGACCATAGCAATATTAATAAAAACAGTTGGAGCAAACTGAAAGTCAATTAATAAAGTTTAATTAAAGTGGTATCCAGAAAAAACAGTTAGGATTAAAACTGAATGTCTAGCCTAAGGTGTCTAACTACAGTGACCATAGCAATATTAATAAAAACAGTTTGGAACAAACTGAGACTTAAGCAATAAATGATTAACTAATGACAATTGCAATATTCAGTAAAACAGTTTGGAGCAAAATACTCTGACCTGTGCCTTGGCTGGTAAGCAGCAAAGAAAGAGGAAGTCATGTGTCTGTCAGGGATTTATATATGGATGTGATGCCTGTTACTGATTGGTTTAAAGTTTATTGATTGACTTGTGCTGCTGGAGGCATAAAGTAAAGAAAGTTATGCAAAATATGAAGCCTCCTGTCATGTGATAAAATTAATATTATACCCTGCTGTGGGAGTGCATTTCTTACTACAGTTTCTGTATTTACACATAGTTGGTGCATAAACTTAGCCACTGACTACCTATATTCCAATATTTTTGAGGAGTTCATCCAGGCATTTACTTAATTAACTTTATTGGAAGATTTTTTCCCTCTAATGTTATCCTCCTGGTATTTAATGTGACAATTTAGGACAACTCCACCCAGATTTTAAAGGTGTATTATCACTTGGTTTCCACTAGTATTTCACTGTTAGGTTTCACGATTAATTTTGTATATATATATATATATATATATATATATATATATATATATATTCGGCTTAATAAAGGTTATACCATTAGTACGAATTTTAATTTTAAGAGATATCTTTTGGTGGAGTGGACATCCATCTGCTTTATGCGGACAGATTTGCCACTCCACTCTAGTCTTTTTCTTTTGTCTGCCTGCTTTGTGTCTCTAATGTAAGAGGGAAGATGTTCTACATAGGATCTCATAATTTTATCTACATATAGGCTGCAATTCTGGGTCAAATAGTCAACCCTCGAGACAATAGGTCGACCTGGTGGGACCTCCAGATTCTTGTGGACTTTGGGCAAGCAGTAAAAGGTTGCTATCCTGGGGTGACGATTCAAGATGAACTCGTATTCGTCACCCGATATCAACCCTTCACTGTGGCCCTCGTCCAAGATCCCCTTCAGCTTCTGTAGGAATTCATTGGTGGGATCGATTTTCAAAGTCCTATAGGTATTGGTGTCACCTAGTACCTTGTGGACCATATTGATGTAGTCACCCACATTCATCAGTACTATATTATACCCCTTATCTGCCAGCTTTATGATCATGTCGGAATCCTCTTTGAGTGATCTTAATGCTTTTTGTTCATTTTTAGAGAGATTATCATTTGGGCTGAAATCCAGGGATTTCAAATTAATTCTCTCAATGTCACTCTTCACTGCTTCCAAAAAGAGTTCAATATTCCTGAAGCTAGCAAAATTGGGGGTAAACCGACTCTTTGGTTTAAATTCAGTACAGAAGGGTAGTCATGAATTCATAGTCTCTATATGTGAGACCTAAGTCTCTTGCCTTCCTTTCAGTATGTAATGTATGAAATTTATGTAGAGCAAGTTTTCGCACAAAAAGGTGAAGATCCTTGATCCACATGAACTTATCGAAGGGTAGAGTTGGTACAAATGAGATGACACTGTCAGCATCTCTACACCAAACAGTACTATCTAACTTGTTCGACAAAAAACCTGCCATTGTCAATGGAATTGGAAGCTCTATTACAGGACCCTACTATTCGCGAGACTATTCGCGCAGAAATAGTAGAATATTTCCAACTCAACTCCTCTCCAGAGCTAACTCCCGCCACGGTATGGGCTGCTCACAAAGCGGTTATCAGAGGCACACTAATAAGGGAAGCCACCAGGAAAAAGAAACTGAAAACACAACGATTAAAGTCCCTCCTACGGGACTTACACACACAAGAGCAGAGACATAAAACCAACCCTACCCCAGATGGGCTTCTGGCCCTACAGACTACACGACGCCAAATAAAGGAGACTTTAGTGGCAGACGTAGCGAAGGCTATGCTCTGGTCTAAGAGAACATATTATGAACAGGCTAACAAAATGCACACGTTTCTGGCCCGCACCCTACGCCCACGCCCACGCCGAACACATATCACCACACTCAGGGATCGCGCAGGTCAGATCAAAACGGCACCGGCAGACATAGCGCGGATATTCACAGAGTTTTATACAACCCTATACAATCACACACCTACCGAGGCTGACAAAACACCGCACCTACGAGACGAGATAAGACAATACCTGGGCAAGCTTGACTTCCCGAAGTTGACCCCTGTAGCAATAGAGTCCTTAGGAGACGAGGTCACAGCAGATGAAATAGATAGAGCGATATCACGCCTCAAAGGGCATAAGGCCCCGGGCCCCGATGGCTATGTGGGCAGCTATTATAAAACATACCAAGAAGAACTGACACCGCATTTATTAAAATGGTTCAACTATTTGATGCAGGATGGACGACCAGACCCAGACATGTCCACGGCCCATATAATACTATTACCCAAACCCGGAAAAGACGCAACATACCCTGAAAATTACAGACCCATATCATTGATCAACCAAGACGTTAAAATACTAGCCAAAATACTAGCAGATAGACTGTCTCCACACCTAACACACCTGGTCCATGCGGATCAGGTGGGTTTTGTCCCCGGAAGACAGTTATTTGAAAACACCAGACGCAACATTGACTTAATCTGGACGCAGACGATCACACACACACCAACGCTCATGTTATCTCTCGACGCGGAAAAGGCGTTCGATAGGGTAAACTGGACATACCTATTCGAACTCCTTCGACATCTCCACTTCCCCGAACAGTACATAACCACGATCTAAGCTATGTACACGGACGTTAAAGCACACATTCAGATTACGGGCGCCCAGACAACCCCTTTCAACTTACACAACGGCACGCGCCAGGGTTGCCCGCTATCACCCCTCCTGTTCGTCATCACTTTAGAGCCCCTACTACAGGCGATCAGATTGAACCAATTAATACACGGAATCTCAGTGAGGGACCAAACATTCAAAGTATCAGGCTATGCGGACGACGTCCTTCTTACGCTTACAACCCCAAGGACCTCAATGTTAGCCTTAGATAAAGAATTAGCAGACTACGGAGCCTTATCGGGATATAAGGTTAACCTGTGCAAATCTGCCGCACTCCCAATAGCAATGACAATGCACGACGCTACATACATAAGCACCCAACACCATATACCCATAAC